GCACGGCCGCTTAAACGCCTCCTTCTTTGGTTACCGGGACCCATCCGCCTTTCATCTGGGTGCCATTTTCACTACAGAAAATCCCAAACTGTTCATCAACAGCGTGGGGATCGTATCTCCTGTGGAAAACAGAGGCAGCGAAGAAAAGCCACCCTTGCAGTCAGCAGTCTGGAAGATATTCTCAAAGGAAGAGCTCACAAAAGAGCAGATGAACTTGCTTTTCTCCTCCTACGACTCCGTCAAGGTGAAGAAGTGGCTGGCGTACCCCCACTACAGCCCCCCAAATAAATTCCCACCTATCATCCTCCATGACAACATCTACTACCTGAATGGCATCGAGTGGGCTGCGAGTGCCATGGAGATGAGCTCCATTGCAGCCAAAAACGCCGCGCTGCTCGCCTACCACCGCTGGTACGGCAACGCAGACAAGATCGACCAGGAAGATTTGTATGAGAAACTGAAAACAGAGCTTTGAGCTGAGTGCCACCACGGCCCCCAGAGATACAGGTCGTGTGCTGAAGGTGTGTAGTCGCAACTAAAAGGAATAAAGGAGGAGCTGGGATGGTGTGATTTTATTCTAACTTCTCACTTAGCATCGGAGGAGGAGGAAACATCCAGCCAGCTCCAGACACAAGCTGACTTGAACTGCTGTCACAAAGTGGGGGGCAGTTCCCCAAGTGGGCTGGCCCTCCCTAAAGCAAAGCCTTCAATCTGTCCCTCTGTAAGATAACCAAGGTGTTTTACATGCCATATTGACCCCAAAGTGTCCTTCAGATCCTACCGAGCCCAGGATCTGCATCACTGTGATTAACTGAGCGTTGTTCCCTTAGACCTGTGCATGTCGCTTTGCCTCTCTGGATATCTCTCCATCAGGGGGGGAAATAAGCCAGCTTCTTAGCATTAAATCTCTCTGCCTCCGCTTTTTTAAAAGGGTGTATTGAGGAGCCCTTGGGGTGGGACTGGTGCAGGGGAAATGGTGAACACGTTCTTTACTTTCATTCAGAACAAGTTCTGCAGCTGGGGGAAGGAGGAGAGAGAAGAACAGAAGCAGACCTGTGCAGGAGTTGCCAAAACAAGTGGAAAACAGGCAAAACACACAGAGCCTGTACTTCTCTTCCATCAAGTTTTGGAAGCGTCAGCTGCTTGGATGACCTAAAAACGACAGCAGGGCAGCAGTAGTTTGTAGCAGATAAACTCTTCTGTCCCATGACTGGATCTAATATTGCTGAACCTCACCCACGTCTAACTATGCAGTAAATAGGATGTTGCCATTACAAACAGAAGTAATGCACTGGTTTGAATATAAGCCAGAGGCGTTGCCTTGAACTGGTGCCTGTGTCACTCGCGTGGTGCTGTTTTGGTGCTGTCTCTCAGAGCTGCTGCTCGGTCCTCCATCAACAGAGCTCTCCTGTACCAGCAAGATGTGCTTGCTTAGCTCAAATTCTCACTAACAAGCCTCCACTAGGCACTGCCTCACACTTGTTGTGCTGGGAAAGATGAACACGCTTGATTAAAGCTAAACTGCAGGACTTGCAGTGAGATTAGCAACCTCACTGCTGGTCTGCGCGTGCTGGAACACGATTCAGCTCTTAGAAGCTTGCTGGTGCCTTGGGGTCAGTGCTTTGTTCTGTCTGCTTCACCCCCTGGGCTGCTTGGAGGCAACCAGAACAACCAAAAACACTTTTGCCTCAGCACAGAGGTGAAGATCACCACGAGCTTGCAGGCAAACACTTTAGCTGGAGAGATATTTCAGTCCCCTCCACTCTTTACAGAGCAATGCCAGAAATAGAAGTGTCACAGCCTGTTATTTATGGGGGGGGGAAAGACACAGGCAGTAACATCTGAACATCTGCTGGAAGAAATGAAACTGCCTGAAAGTCCTCCCCCCACTGCTGCACTCACAGAGTTAACTGCCCCAGGCCTCAGTTACACCAAGTACAGCTTACACAGGGTTACACCAACCAGTACAAAATTTATTTAACAAAAAAAATAAGCTTACACTTGTGGTTGCTTCACTAGGTTCGAGTGAGTAAACAAAACACAACAGGGTCGGGTCCCTACGGGGTTCCTCTGCCACTATACTCGTTCCAAAGCTTCCAGCATGATGATGCTGTTTCCTCGTATTACCTACAAAGAGAAGTTGGCAGTAAGAGGTGAGATGAAGCACACTGTTACCCACAGCACAGAAGGTTCTCTTTCCCTCTATCTTTTCCTCCTGAAAAGCTGCACAGCACACGCAGCTCCAAGAACTGAAGCGAATCACGGAACTGTAGGGGCTCGTGGCAGCAGTCAGCCTGCTGGAAAAGGCTCCTGCAGGAGGGTGGTGACAGAAAAGGTGGATGAGAAGCTTGACACAAGACAGCAACGCGTGCTTGTGACCTCACAGCCAACAGCATCCTGGGCTGCAGCAACAGAGGGGTGGCAGCAGGCAGGGAGGGGTTTCCCCCCCTCTGATTTGTCCTCCTGCATCCAAGCCTGTGGCCCTCAGCACAGGAGGGATGTGGGGCTGTGAGACAGGGTTCAGAGGAAAGCCATGAGGATGCTCAAAGAGCTGGAGCACATCTCCTGTGAGGCTGTGACAGGCTGAGGGGGCTGGGCTTGTTCAGCAAAAGCTATGAACACACATCACTGGGGTCTTCCAGTACTTTAAGGGAGCTTATAAACAGAAGAGAGAGTGACTTTTTACATGAGTAGATAGCGATGGGACAAGGAGGAATGGTCTTAAACTAAAAGACAGGAGATTTAGGTTAGATGTCAGGGGGAAATTCTTCACCATGAGGGTGGTGAGGTGCTGGAACAAAGGAGCTTCGGGTTCCCCATTCCTAGAGGTGTCCAAAGCCATGGATGGGCACTGGTAGGCCTGAGCTGGAGGGGGGCACACAGCCCAGGGCAGGAGGTGGGACTGGGGGGCTGTAAGGTCTCCCTCAACCCAACCATACTGTGATGCTACAACCCCCAGCTCCCCCAGCACTCACCACCATGCCGATGTTGTTCTGCTGCCCGCCGGGCGCCATCTCCACGCACTCATCGATCACCAGGTTCATGAAGGGGTCGAAGCCCCGCAGGATCCCCTGCACGTGGCGGCCGCCATTTAACTTCACTACGAGAAACGGGATCATTGCGAACCAATGCGGGGGGAAGGGGTGGGGTGGGAATCAGCTCAAAGGGCAGCGTCAGAAGGAAGGGGACCCGGGGCTGCGTGCCTGCGGGGGCAGCTGGAGCTCAGAGGGCAACACCTTCCCCCCCCCCCCCCGGTACGGCAGTGCGACTCACGTGACAGCTTCTTGTCCATGAACCTGCAACGAGAGCGGAACAGGAGGAGGCCGCGTCAGTGTGGGGTCGGGGCCGCCATCGCTGAGAGCCTCACCGGACCCGGACCCGGACCCGGACCCATGACCCTCCCGTGCCGCTGGGACCACCTCAGACCCCGCTGCTCCCCCTCAGCCCCCCCGCGGCCCGCCTCTCACTTCTTCAGCTCGGGTGGATGCGCTTTGCTCATGGCGTCTCCTCAGCGCCGCTGCCGCTCGCGCCGCGCTCTGACGTCATCACGTCGCCCGCTTAGCCAATGGAAGCCCCGCCCCTCTTCCCGCCACCCCTCGCGCCTCGCCGGCAGCCAATAAGAGCTCTCGATGGGGGGGTGCGCATGCGCGCTGGGAGAGATTCCCGGCTCGCGCACAAGCAGTGGCGCCATCCAGCACGTGCGTGGGAACCTGCAGCTCTGCTGCTCAGCATGGGCTGCACTGCGTGCACACCGCACTGCACGCCCAGCACACGCATCGCATTGTATGCACACTGCATTGCACGCCCAGCACAGCACACACACTGCACTGCATGCACACCACATTGCGCTGCATGCGCACTGCACTGGATGCCCAGCACACACACACTGCACTGCATGCACACTGCATTGCACACCCAGCACAGCACACGCACTGCACTGCATGCACACCGCATTGCATGCCCAGCAAAGCACACACACTGCACTGTGTGCACATTCACTACAGCACACACACTGCACCACATGCACACCACACTGCATGTCCACTATAATATGCCTCATTGCACCTGTTACACCTCATTGCACACTGTTGTACACGCACTGCACTGCATGCATGCCATTACACACACACTGTATTGCATATGCACCATTGCACGGCCACTATACTGCATGCATACTGCTGTACACCCACTGTGTTGCACCCACAGGAATCACCCCATGTCTGTGCAGTAATCCCCGGTTGCACCCACCTTGCATGCACACAAAGGCACTGCCCCACACACTGCAAGTCCTGCATGGCTCACTGTGCACTTTGCATGCCTGCATGGTTCACCCTGCACACCTTGCACAGCAGTCAGCTCACAGCTTGCACGTCTGCACCCTGCATGCTTTGCACACTTGAACACCATACCCCACGCCCTGCAGAAGCACTGCCCCACACCTTGCATACCTGCACCCTACCCTATTGCAGAAGCACCCCCCGCTCACTGCACGCTTACACCCAGCACCCCACACTCTGCCACACATCTTGCACATCTGCATGGCTCGCCCACCACAACTTGCAAACTTGCACAGCTCACCCCACGCACTGAACATTTGCACGGCTCGCTCTGCACACATCGCACAGGTGTCACCCCATGCCTTGCACACCTGTGCCCCATCCACCCATACATCCACACACACTGCACACCCATCATCCCATCTCTTCCAAAGCTTCACCCCATACACTGCATGCTTGCATGGCTTGCCCCACACCCCATAGCTTGCACACCTGCACGCCATACCTTGCGCAGCCATCGTCCCCCACTTTGCACACCTGCACCCTCTCTATACATTGCACATTTGCACGGCTCATCCCCACACACCGCACAGCCATCACCCCATACCTTGCACACACCCACCCCATGCGCTGCACTGCCACTACCCTACACCTTGCACACCTGCATCCTACATTTTGCACAGCCATCACCCCACTCCCCCAGCGCCCCTCCAGCACCACGAGTGCAGCTCCTTGCCTTTAATACCACCAGCCCCACCCCAACAGCACCCATTAGTGCTGTAGGGCTGCCAACCCATCCCGCATCCTCTTTGCCATGCCGGGCACCAGGCGCAGGTGCTCGTCCCCACAGGCAGCCACACAGGCATCGAGCTGGGATCGTGCCCTTGTCTCCCCACCGCCCGCCTCCAGGGCATCCTTGGCTCTGTCAGAGCAGTGCAGCGTGCAGCGGCTCAGGCGGTCCTGCAAGGGGACAAAGGGGCACAGGTCACAAGAATGACAGAAATATAGGGGTTGGAAGGGAGCTCTGGGGTTCCCCCAGTGTTTACATGGTGGATCGGATCCCCTCTCAGCCTTCTCATCCACAGTTGAACAGCCCTTGGGGTTCTCAGCCTCTTCCCATCATGGGATGCTCCTCTCTCTACCATCTCTATGGCTCTCCAGCAGTTTCCTGTCTGCCTGGATCTGAGGAGCCCACAGCTGGACCCAGTGCTCCAGATGTGGCCTCCTCAGGGCAGAGTGGGAGCACCTCCCTTGCCCTGCTGGCCACACTCTTTGTAATGGACCCCAAGGTCCAACTGGTCTTCTTGGCCACCAGGATGCACTGCTGACTCGTGGTCAGCCTGTGGTCAGCCACTGGCCAACTGCTGGTCAACCACTGGTCAACAGTTGGCCAATCATTGGTCAGCCACTGGTCAACTACAGGTCAACTGCTGGTCAACTACTGGTCAACAGTTGGCCAATCACTGGTCAGCTGTTGGTCAACTACTGGTCAGCTGTTGGTCAACCACTCAACTGTAGGTCAACCAGGACCCCCAGGTCCTTCTCTGCAGAGAAGGCCTTCTCCTTCTCCTCATCCAGCAGCTCAGCCCCCAGCCTGCACTGACGCATGCAGTTGTTCCTCCCCTGGTGAAGGACCCCACACTTGCTCATAAGAACCTCATCAGGTTCCTCTCTGCCCAGCTCTCAGCCTGCCCAGGTCTCACTGAACAGCAGCACGGCCTTCTGAGGTGTCACCCCCCATGATGTGTTCATGTAACCCCAAATATCCTCACCTGGAAGCGTTCCAGCTCGCCGGTGACGATGGCCTGGGCCTGGGCCAGGGGTGCATGGCAGCGCTCAATGCAACGCTGCACCTGCTGCATGGAGGCTGCTCTGTCCTCACAGCACCGTGCGCTGCAGTGGAACATGGTGGCCTGCAAAGGGTGGGCAAAAAGGCGGGGGGGTTAGCATGGTGCAGCACCCAAGGGACCCCTCCTAATGTGTGAGCAATCCAAGGTACACCCAGAAGCGCACAGAGCTGAGGGCTGCAAGGCAGGAACAGTTTGTACAGAGCTTGCACATAGGGGATGCAAACATTTTGCACAGGGCATGCTTGGGGGGGGGGGGGGTGTTGTACAAATGTGTAATGAACCATATATATACCATCATATAGATACCATCAGCCTTCTTGGCCATGGGAGCACATTGCTGGGTTGTGGTCAGCTGTTGGTCAACCATTAGTCAATCATTGGTCAACCATCAGTCAACCACTGGTCAACTACTGGTCAACCATCAGTGTCAACTGCTGGTCAACTGCTGGTCAACCATCAGTCAACTACTGGTCAACTGCTGGTCAACCATCAGTTAACCACTGGTCAACTGCTGGTCAGCTGTTGGTCAACCATTAGTCACCCACTGGTCAATTGCTGGTCAACCATCAGTCCACTACTGATCAACTGCTGGCCAACCATCAGTCAACCACTGGTCAATTGGTGGTCAGCTGTTGGTAAACCATTAGTCAACTACTGGTCAACTGCTGGTCAACCATCAGTCAACCACTGGTCAATTGCTGGTCAGCTGTTGGTCAACCATCAGTCAACCACTGGTCAACTGCTGTTCAGCTGCTGGTTAACCAGGTCACCCAGGTCCTTCTTCACAGAGCTACTTTGCAGCAGTTCAACCCCTAATCTAGGGGGCTGCACACATTTTGCACAGGGGAGGCACCTGGAGGACACCCAGCTGGCACACAGAGCATGCACTGGGGAGGGGAGGGGGCACAAAGTCTGTACAGGGCAGGGCATCATGCACTCGGGATGGGTATCACCAAGTTTGCACAGGGCACAAAACCTTCCCGGGGGGATGCACAAATCTTGCACAGGGCGTGCAC